AGCAGCTCGGTGTCGGCCTTCACGGCGTCGTCGCTCGGGTAGTAGATCGAACAGTATTCGGTCACCCATGTATGGATCGCGTTCCATATTGCGAGCCCATCCACCGCGTAGGGGTAGTCCTTGATCAGTAGTCGAAGCCCGTCGCCCTCCTGCACCGCAACTCCTCTGAGCAGAAACAAAGCTTTGAATCAGTCCAAGCATACACTCGTGACGATGCTGAATTAGATCTTCCGAGGATTTTGTTACCTCTTTATCAGCTCGGTAGGGAGAGCTTGCTCGACGAAGTTCCAGTTTCTGTAGATGACGGCAGACATCTCCATGGCGTACTTCCCTGGGAAGACGGTCGTCTCCAGGATCCCGCCGGCATTGATGAGCGTCTGGCGAGCCAACGCGTTGATGTTCATCGTGTCGCGATAGTGCGGCGTCAGAAGCTTGCTGATCGGGTGGACGACGCTCAGGTGTCGATTCGTGGCGATCACGAACGGCTCCAGAACCGCGTGCGTATTGAGCCTGCGCATGTGCACGCATCATGAGAAGGTGAACAGGTTCTGCACAACTAAGAACTGAGCTATGTTGGGATTTTGATTCGCACCAGTGGCTGATGAGCTGGTGGACGCCGGAGTCGTTGACACCGACGTAGGCCTTCGCCAACTGCCAGATGGAACCCTCGACGCCGGTTTCAGCCGGTGTGTACACTTTGCTGACGGCGCCAAATTGTTCTCCATCAGGGTGTGGTAAGCTGAGTTCGATGGCCAGTGGCTTCAGAGTAGAATCCTCCTTCAGGAATAGCAGAGTCCTCGTGGCGTATATCTTATTCGAACCGGAGTTTATGCGACCAAGATATGGCATCAAAGCATCATGATGGTCCAAGATGAAGAGCCTGTAGCTCCTCAGTGCCTGAAGAATAGCAACAGAATCAAGCAAACCGTGCCTATGATCCCTGAGTACGTTCTAAGGTACAGAAGTCATATACCTCGTCAACAGTCAGGCCTTCAAGGTTGTGCTCGATGTGGGTTGCTGTGATCGTGCTGTGTTGGTTGCCATACTTGTTAGAGTCGAGCTGGCTGATGGGAGGGAAATTGTCAAGGCGGCTGACGATGAGAGGGTCCACGCCGGCAAGCATTTCGCGGCCAAACTCTTCGTCCGTTCGCCAAGCATTCTTATCGACTGCAACAAGAACAGGATGGTGAGATGAGCGTGCTTGTTCGACTGCTACAAGCTTTGCTATTGGACTTACCTTGAATCACGTGGGGCTTCGGGAGCTTGAGGAAGTTCTGGCCCTTCTCAGTGCGTAGCAGTTCTCTTATCATCTCGAAAGGGATCCTCTGTCTCAGCTCATCCAGCAGAGGAATCTGAGGCACCGGAAGGCCGTTCTCATAGAGGCTCAGTACTTCCTCGAACGAGTCGAACTCGTTCGGGGTTATATCGAATATGGCTTGCAGCGTTGGGAGCAGCCCGGTGGAGATGGCTTTGATTGCGTAGGTGAGGAAGTCACCCATTTTAAGGTGGCCGAATCGCTCATCTCGGGGCACATAGATGTTCAAGTTCAGCAGTGGCAGTCTGCTCTCGGTCTTGGGATCTGCAGCAAGCAAATAGGCGATCGAGGCAACGTTAGAAATGGAGTCAGGCGCTAATGCGACACGATCTCGTCGGAACTGAGATTACCGGTCTTCGTCGGTGCGCGGCCGGTCTTCCCACGACGAGGGTAAGGGTACTCCGCCGACCCTCCGAGGATTGGCCGGACGAGGTTCGCGCCCTGATCGGGACTTCCGAGATCGTTGTAGTACGCATAGTCGTATACACGGTCCCATTCTTTCAGCTCCCCGGTGACGTCTTGCCCCCTCAAGTTTAGCAGCTCATCTTGTCTGTATGGTTTCAGCGGTGCCGGTGTGTCTCCTGGGAGGTACGTCTGCACACACACACACATTAGTCATGGTTAATCCAACCGCACGTTAAGTTCAGCATCACACAGCAAGAACTTGAGTATCGTACTCACGGTGTTGGCGAAGAAGACACGGTCATATTTGTACTTGCTTGCAGGGTAGACCCAGGAGTTGCAGACGAAGTGGATCCGGCCCTTGCCGGGGAAGTTGTCCAGCGTCAGCGTCTTGAGGAAGAACTGGGTGGCGTGCTTGTTCTTGACGATGACGGCTCCGGGGATCCCCTTGTTCTCCTCCCACTGGAACGTCACGCTGAATCTACTCTCGCCGGCGGCGAGGGAGGGCAGGCGGCCAAGGTACTGCAAGGAGGCCGGCGACCCGACGACTCCCCGGTTCCCATTGTCTGCCATAATTCACGAGATGGTAAAGGGAACTAACAACGCAGCAACCACATACGTGTAATCAACAGAGCGAACAACTCACTGGGGTCGCCGACGGTGGCGCTCACGAGCTGGAAGGTGACGTTCTGACCGAGGATGTCGAACAATCCGTCGATGACGTTGCCGGCCAAGTCGTTGAAGTCGAGGACATTCTTCGGCATCAGCACCACCGTGCCCTTCACCTGCACTCCCTTCGACCCCCCGAGGATGCCGCCCACGACATCGCCCACACCGCCCACCACACCTCCCACCACGCCGCCGACGATGTTTCCGAACATCTTCGGTTCCCTTTTTCCTGTAACACAGTGGATAGCGACGACTAATAGCTTAGAGAGTGAACGTTGCAGTGAGATCGATTGCAGCGGAGGTGGTATTTATTGATGCAGAGCATCCGCCTGTGTCGAACAAGCACGGGTTTCTCGTGTCCACAAATGCTTCCCCAAATAATTTTACGTGGTTGGGTCCACTGAATTAAATAGGTGTTTTGTTGGGACCCACTCCCTGATAATTGAGCATCCATGCGTTTCACATGGCCGCCAATCGCGGTCCAATGTGAACTCTGATTTATGTGTCATCTGCGCGAGACTTAGTTGTATATCTTTTCCACACAAAATAAATATAACAATGATACAAACAAATAGTGATATTTGAACGAACCGGTGAAAATTACAACGAAAACGATCAATGATTTCATAGATCTGAATCGAATCGGAATCGGATGGGGGGTTCCATTTCACGTTGAAATCAAAATCAGAACCAGATGAAAATAAAAAGAAATAAACATTAAACACTATAATAAAAATTAAATTAAATAAAATTAAAAAAAAAATGATGGTTCTGATTCCATCTTGTGTGGAGGTTGAACTGTCGATTCCAAACTCGAACGTAAGTAATAATACCAATAATAAAGATATTATTATATAATATAAATTCTAATCTTTATCCATCTCCCTCCTTAGTATAATTATCATATGGATTATATTATTATTATTATTATTATTATTAATGAGGGTAATAATGACGACATGACGCGCCACGACATTAGCCACGCTTGGACGACACTCTGCCCCAAAGAGGGCAATAATGCTGACGCGATGTGCGCTGACGTCACCCGCTCTCAAACAACGACTTCATCGTTGTCTGACCCAACATGCTTGGCCGAGGCAGAGGAGAACGACGACCGAGGCTCGCCCATGCCCTACGGCAGTTCAGTTCTCCACGCAATGCCAATGGCGATGTCAGACGCCATCAGAGGTACGATCCTGCTCCCGCAGGTAGGCACATCAAGTAACATTAAACTGCCCTATAAATACCCCCGAGTTCTAAACGAGGGGGGAGAGCACTTCGAAACCCCCTCCACATCCACTAACTTGATCGTCGGAGGGGTCGGGCCGAGCTTCCGACTCGACTTGTGTGCAGGTGTAAGGACGGGGTTGCTTCTTCCCGGCGCTGTGGAAAAGCTTTCCTCTCGATGTAACGTCCCGGCCGGACCACCGTGATCGGCCGCCTGGGCAATCTCGAGGAACGCCGTACCAGATCCCCGTCATTCGGACCTCAACCAAGTCGCGTCGACCCCGAGGCCACGACATAAAGTTGTTTACACTAATAATAATTATTATTATTATTATTATCCCCTAGGCTATCTTTATTGTCTTGATTGATTCAGATGGCACACAAATTATTATAGACCATAATAATAATATTATTATTATGGTCCCATAGGCTATCTTTATTGTCTTTATTATTATTATGATCAATTATTGGTCATATTTGTTATAAAAAATGACAAATATCACTGTCTTATTCTCATGTTATTAAAAAAGGTGTTAAATGAGGGTTCAGTTGGTAGATCGATCACACAAAAATGATGTGCCAAGGATAGGCTTCACAACAGTGATGTGTATACAACTCATGCTTTCCAAGTGCACAATTCATCCTGGTCCCAATTGGGAATAGTTCAGAAGGTCGGTCATAATTCATCCTGGTCCCAATTGGGTACAATGATCGTTGTGTTCTTTTTATCATTATATTTACAATATTAAATGATCTACCTGATATGATTTGTTTTCTTAGCAGTCATTAGATGTGGATAAGTACACTACTTCAAAATCCAATGCATGAAACTTGAATGGCATGATATGAATATAGGACATTTCATTTTCTGATACTGTCAATATATATAGGTTCCATTCTTAATATTGTTTTTCATCTCTTTCATAAATTTTGCTATTATAAATTGTCGTTACCACTAGATATTGTTAGAGACCGGTCATGGCATCACCAAAATCTACAAAAATATCAATTTACGACGAGATATACGAGTACACAACCAAGATAATGAAAGAAAAAGAAAAAAGAAGATATCAGCTTACAACCATAATTCAATGGTTCTTGAGAAACCTTTTTAAATACATTCTTCCTCTTGTCGTCAAGTTTAGGATTGTAAAAATATAGTTCATATTAGTCATTATTGACCCTAAAATCAATATAGTTCTTTCATTTTTGGAGAAATAATTCATGATGGTCCCAATGTATAATAAAAGTACTAAAACCAATTGAAAGAAAAGATTTCATGTTGAAAATTTTGCTCGGATGAATGCTGAACTTCAATAATTTGTGAGTCAATTATATAAAAGTCACTAATAGAACTTTTATTCATCATTATTCTCCTTTTAATCTCTTTTAATCTCAATCTCACTCTCAACCAAAATATGTTAATCTCTCTTGAACTCATAGGCCTTTAATCTCACCGATTACAAAGTTATGAATCATACATATAAAAAAGATACCCAAACCAATACTCTTCAATCGACAAAATCTTCACGTGATGATAAAGATAATGAGTTCATATTGACAATTGGTCCCACAAGTGACAAAGGATAAATAACAAAAAACAAAGAAGATAAGAGTTCACAATCATCCTTTATTATAGTCCCAATTGGCAAGCTGAATAGAAGCTTCAGATATTTTGATAATAGTTGGAGATTTGGGTAATAAGGCCCTAAATTGTTTCTAATC